TGCGTTTCTCCAACAACGGACTATGTCGGTTCGAGTCTCTAATTCACTGTCCGCCTCTATAGCCGTTTCTTGCGGAGTCCCCCAGAGTTCTGTGCTTGGTCCAAGACTTTTTCTCTTGTTCATAAACGACCTACAGAATGTCTTAGGACCAAAATCATTATTGTTTGCGGACGACGTCAAAATCTGGAAGACAGTGACAGAAATTGGGGGTTCGCTGGAACTCCAAGAAACACTGAATGCAGCTCACAAATGGTCTGTTGAGAACGACATCCAATTTAACGTCTCCAAATGCAAGGTGATTTCGTTACGCCACCATGAACGGTTTCCTTATTTCCTCGGAAACGAACTACTGCCTCATGCATCAACAGAGAAGGACTTGTTATAGTTCACGAAGAAATGAACTGTTCTGACAACTGCGCCAGGGCGTCATCAACCGCACTCAAACATGTCGGTCTACTTAGACTTGTTTTCGGTCGTTTTGAACCATCGTTATTCTCACGTCTGTTGTCAACATACATCCGGCCGCATATTGAGTATGCCATCCAAACTTAGAAACCCTGGTTACGACGTGATCATAAGATTTTGGAACGTCCACAAAGGCTCGCCACGAAGATGGTCAAAGGACTCTATCATGATTCATACATGGGGAGAATGCAGTCGTTGGATCTATACTCTGCTCAGTATCGCCGGATTCGAGGAGACTTGATTTTGGTGTACCAAATATTATACAGCCCAAACCACCCTTGTCGCCGACTTCTGAAGTTGTCATCAAACATTCATCTACGGGGACATCTATTCAAGTTGGTACTCCAAAAATCTCGACTGGACTGCCGACGTCATTCCTTTGCCGTCAGTGTGCACTGCCTGGAATTCCCTACCAGCTCATGTTGTATGTGCCGAGACGATTGATTCTTTCAAGGTAAAACTTGACGAATCATTAACAAACATTGCATTCCAACATCCATGAGAACACAAAACACAACCAAATGCAACATATGAAATTTTGTTCATCACTGTTACAGTTGAACTCGTTTTAACACCCTATGGGACAAGAAAAGCACCTGCTTGTAAGTAATGCCCATAATAAAACTTTGACTTTGACTTTGACATGTCCTTCTCTCCCTCCTCTCTACCGTATTCACCAACCCGTTTGAACCAGTTCAATTTCATATCAAATTTTGCTATCTAACATGATCTGAATCCCCCAATCGAACAAAGATTGCGCAACTCATCTGCCCACAAACTTGTTCAAATGACTCATGTTCACTTCCATGTTTCTCTGTTTGATATGATCATTATAAATGTGCGTTTACAGGTGAATAAGACCCCGCGAAATTGACTAGTATCAATCTCCCCACATATGTGTTACCTCGATGATTATTGTTAATAACAATATTATTACCGTCGTTATCATTCTGGCGTCATGAGTAAATAAATTAGCTATTCCTAATATTTTGGCGTATCGCGTCAGTTCTATTTCAGTTTCTGATCACGTTCCTCATTATGGAACGGGGCATTTAGAAAAATCCAGGGAAATGCCCACGATACTGCACTTTCGTTTTTATACCCCTGTGTCAAAGGGTGGTGGTGGCGCAGTGGCTTAGTCGCTGGTGCGCTTTGGACCCTGTCGTCCGAGGCTCGAGCCCCGCCATCGCCACCCAACTTCGGTGGTAGACAGGTTTTCTGTCACCCAGTTCTATTCCACACTTGACCTAGTGGGGCTTTGTGTGGTTCGCCACTCCAAGTCCCATGGCTTGGGTTGCCGGTTACCATCACTGAACGGCAGGTCTTCGTGATCATGGGGTTCTACTTCGTCTGCTGTCCGTCGCACACCGGTGTGTAATAAAAATATCCACTAATGAATCATGACGATAAATCAGAAATGAGGTGCCATAGATTCTCAGAGCCCCCAAACACTTATGCGCAGTTTGAATCTTTGACCGATTTCAAGCGGTCAATGTGCTCACCTGAATGGCTGTTGGTCCGATTAGGACACCATCTTACAATCGCTATAATCCATAGCTCATGTGAAACAGAATATCCATAAGGAGTTGTTGGGACTGATACTATATGCAATGCATCGGTCTTCATAAGTGATGATGAACAGTTCGGTATTTTGCTAGTTAGAAGAAAGGGATGACAGGTACGGTGCAAACACCACATTATCGCAAGAAATTACTGTTTGGTTGCAAGAGTCCGCATCCTATATCCTGGGAATTTATTATGACAAGCCCTAAGCCTCAATAGGGTCGGGGATGAATGTCTCAGGTTGTGGCTGGTCACCGTTCTCTTACACCTTGCGAAAGGTTTCCCTATGGCCAAGCTTCTCAAATAGCCTTTGCTGAGGAAGCCTTGCCCACTGTCTTCTCGTGGCTGAGGTTTTTACCCCACCAAAGTGAAAGAACGAAAAGCCGAAATCTCTGGGCTATAATCGGATCGGTGAGCCACTGGTAGTTCACTTACGGGAGTTGGTTATTACCTTGATCATCGGCTCTATTGGACATCAAGGTGTATTGGGAATTGAGTACCTTGGACGTTGGACCACTTTCGAAGGCCGATGATCCGATGAACTGGACACGAGTCCCCATTGGAATACGGTTTTCACACACCGCCCCGTAAATTTTCTCGTTGTCGTGACAACTCGATAATATCGCGTCCACACACAAATCATAGAACTTTTCTTTTTTTATGAAGGTCATTGTACTGTATTTTGTTTGGTACATGGTCTGGTCTCAGATGTGTGCACTATAGTAATATTACGAAAATCCTATGAAGGGCCCCATTAAGACTGGCTCAATGTTACCCCGGAAATCGCAAACCTGCTATCGATGCAGGGAGGTGTGAACGATGACATAGTTGATGTATATATGATATCACGGGGACAATTTGCACCTCCAGTTGCAGCAATGCCTGGAATCCGCATCTGGTGGTCAAGCACACTTCCGTAGTTCTCCATTTCATGCTTACCTGTGCGCTGAAAATTCATCCTATTGGGTGCGTAAAGCTTAACCTGACGTGACTGTGCACGTACCAGCCGACTGTAGCATTCCAGAAGTAATCATCTTTACTTCTTAGACTGAATGGTTACGTATCGGAGCTCGCAAAATAAGCGAATCATCCATACTAAGGTTTTTTCAACGTCGTGAATTAAATTCACAATTATCACATGACTCAAAGACTAGTTTTTGACTAAATTTGCCGCCATTCCGCTTCTCAACTGTTCTCACTGTTTCTCTTGTTCTTAGGTCAGAGAGAATGGAATTGCGATTGGGATTGAACACATTGATGAATTAACCAATCTGGCAAAATCAAATGTGGCAAATTGGCTTCAACGAGCCGACAAAGACGCTGTACACGGTGTGGTGGTTGGAAAGAATTTACAATTTATTACTGGCGATGGACGGCAAGGTTGGAAACAAGAAGAACCATACGATGCCATTCATGTGGGAGCCGCTGCGGCGAAAATCCCCCAGGCGGTGAGCGCTGCGCGGGTTCATTTTTGTCATTATTTCTGATTGAATAGGTTTCTCAAAGAGACTATTTGAACAGTGCGTTTTCTGACAATTCCAGGGGAATTTCATCATAGACAGGGGAAGGGAAATGGTGTCCTTGATGATACGTGGCCACTATTTCGTAGTTCCTGCATCTATCTGTTGTGCTATTCCTAACCATAGACTTATGAACTTACGCGTTCACACATGTCTCAGAGTCTTACACCCATGCAAAGCTTTTTCTTAAACTCTGCACGCAACACTTCCACCCGCACCCCAAACAATACCCCCATTTTTCCACTGTATGTCTCATCCCGAACAGTCCCACAGAGGCAGGTTCACGTTGTAGCTCCCCGCTATCTTCCTTGCCATCTGTCTCGGCATTGTCTTATCATTCGGAGCTGTACGTTCCATTCTTCCGACGTCACCCTATGTTCAAACTGGCTTCGTTCAACGCTAGAACCCTAATGCTTATAGGACAACAAGCGGGTTTAGCTCGTAAGCTCAACAGCTAAAGAACGAAGCGTCGATGCTTATTCAGTGTACGCCCCGATCGATTACAGTCCACCTGAAATCAGGGTTGAATTCTACAAGGCCATTTCTCAATTACTTCAAAGTGTTCGATCAACGGACATCGTAGTGGTCGCTGGAGACTTCAATGTTCAAGTGGGATCCCTGGACG